GACGTAGGAATTGTGTTGTGACATGATGTGTAAGAGTGTGTGTTACCTTGAGCATGACATTGACGTAGGAGTTGTGTTGTGACATGATGTGTTAGAGTGTGTGTTACCTTGAGCATGACATTGACGTAGGAATTGTGTTATGACATGATGTGTAAGAGTGTGTGTTACCTTGAGTATGACATTGACGTAGGAATTGTGTTGTGACATGATGTGTAAGAGTGAGTGTTACCTTGAGCATGACATCGACGTAGGAGTTGTGTTGTGACATTATGTCCTTAACATCCCACTTGACTCCTGACATGTGGTATAGGATATTGTCATAGTCCACTGCCTGTACTGACACAGTCCAGTACACTGGCTTCCGTAACTCAGCAGCCATTTTAACTGTCTGAAAAATAGATATATCAAGATGTCCCTTCTCAGTAAGTGATCAAGAAGTTTATTACCAAGTAGTGTTATATATTTTGTTAGAAAAACTGTCATTATTGCTTTTTCTGATAAATTTGTTGCACCTGTGGGAACTGTCATCATTACTAATTTTGACAGTGGACTTTGTATCTGTTAAAAGAACTGTCATTTTTACTATTTTTGACAGTGACCTTGTATCTATTAAAAGAACTGACATTATTACTATTTTTGACAGTGGACTTTGTATCTGTTAAAAGGACTGACATCATCACTATTTTTTATTGTGGACTTTGTATCTGTTAAAAGAACTGTCATTATTATGCTGACTGTGAGGAAACGATCATTATCTCATACCTGTGAGAAAAACTGTTGGAGGAAGACTTTTTTGTTGCCTGGTATCATAGCTTCTAGGTGAGGATACAGCAGCTCCATCTGACTGGCCAGGAAAACTCTAAAACATAATATGTAAGCCTAAATCACATCCATGGCAGGCCAACCACACCAATATAGAGTGCTGGTATTGTGATTAGTTCACTTACATCTCTTGCCTTTTTTTTCCATTGGTTAATCATTCACAAGATGCCAAAAAGCCTTAATCTCTCAACAAGTTTGAATTTTGTTTGATTTCACAAAAATTAACAGGTCAGCATTTTACAATTAACAGTTGTTTAACAATTCACATTTGTTTACTAGTACATTGGTTAACTATCAACAATATGCCAAATAGCCTTAATCTCTCTATAGTTTTGTATTTTTTGTTTGATTTCACATCCAAAATTAACAGGTTGCAATACATAAAACAGGCTATGACATATTCCAAATACTTAACACAAAAGGACTCGAGCTATAAAACTAATGTTATAAAAGCCATAAAACACTGTTAAATCCCTATATAAGATCATGTAACCATTATATTATACAGTAAGTACAATGTAACATATATATATAGCTGTATATGGGAAGTCAGACTCACAGAGACTCAGCAGCAACTACTCTCTCAGCCAGACCAAACAGACGACCACTCCCACTGAGGTCGACGATGGGGGAGAGGTGTGGCTGCGGGAATTTGTCCTGTCAATGTCAACACGACAACAATAAATATTCAAATCAAGGAAAATTGAAGGGGAAGGGTGTGTATGTTGTTAAGGAGCAGTGTGGTTCTCAATCTGTCGGTTACTGATGGAGGGGTGACTTCAATGGGTGTGTGTGTGGGTGGGTGTGTGG